AAAATCAATAAAACTGTTAAATAATTCAACAGGACTGCACTAAAAAAACAAACATGATTACTCCAGGACTATTAATATGTGTGCCTCTGAAAACACTCATGTACACACATAAGCATACACACACCCACAGCTACGCACACCAGTGCTTTGAGCTAAATGCTTACGTCAGCATTCTAATTGAAATGCTTAGTTTAGTGTGCTAGCATGATAACATTAGCTAATTAGCACTAAACAGAAGGCACAGCTGAGGCTGATGAATCTCACTAGGTTTCTAGCTATATTTTGACTAGATGCTCAAGGAAAAATCTAGGGAATCACCAAAGTTATTACAATTCATCCTGTGAGGAACATGAGCGTATGTGTTCAGTTTCAATTAAATCTGTCCAACAGTTGTTGAGACATTTCACTTAAAACCCCAAATGTCAACCTTGTGCAGGCATTATAGGTAAAGTCAGGGGATTACTAAAGTCAGTAGGGTTTGTTGTCTGGGTACTGTGGGTATCTTTAACAAATTTCATGAGAATCCATTTAAGTTGGCAAGATATTTCAGTCTGGACCAAAATAACCAACGTTGCCATAGAGCCACTAGCATGGCTAAAAATAAAAACAAGAAAATGGAAGAAAGACAAGATTGACCTTGCTTTTTTTCTTTTTAATTGAATATTAAATACATTTTAAATATTATTGTGGTGGAACTATTATATGTTTCCTTTTCCTCAGTTACACTGTCTTATCCAATTATTATAGAGAAAAAACGTAATGTTATTTTATGTACAGTACAGGCTTAATATTAGTATGTTGTAAAATTCTGAAATGTTAAAAAATAGTTTATTTCTGTATTGTTTTCGACTATTTACGTGCTTGTTTTAATTTAAAATGAAAAATAATGAAAACGTTTTTCATTCCTTTTAATATAAAGCATGCTATATTAAAATAAAAATATTGAACAATAAAATAAATAAAGATATAATGAGATTTTGATGAGTTTCTTTTTTGTCTGCATCTCACAGACTTTGTGCGTCATCAGTCCATTCCCATTCAGTCCATGTCAGCAGACATCTTCGCCTTTAAAGAGGACATCTATGTGGCGATGGCTGCCCCCAACTACAACAGCTGTGTGGTCATGGAGTGGGATCACATTGAAATGAATTTCAGGAAATTTGACAATATAACAGGTTTGACTGTATTTTTCTTATAGTCAGAAAATCTCATAAGACCAAAAGCAATAATTAATTGATTGAACGAACAAGTTTAGCCTGATACAGGTTGTTCCTTTTTATTGTGTTAAAAACACATGTTTTTAAAACAATAGGAACTAATGGGCCTCTGGGCTGAGAGCCAAGGACAGACGGGGAAGTCGAAAAGTATTGAGCGGCCTAGTCATTTCTGTTTTTTGGTCTCAGGATGTGTTGGCAATAACAAACAAATATATATGTGTGTATATATACTGTATGTGTGTATGTATGTATGTGTATATATGTATATGTGTGAGTGTGTGTGTATATATATATTAAGGTTAATTTAAGAGAACAACTTTATGAGGAAATTGTCATTTTATTGTCAGTTAATGATCAACTTAAACAACATTTTTTGTGTTGTATTTCCACTCATCTTTTTTATCCTCACAGGGAAGTCTGTTGTTGGCTGCAAGTCGGTTCTGATCGACGACCACGTCTTGATAATTGTTACCCAGCTCTTTGGTGGCTCCCATATTTACAAGTTTGACAATCGGCAAAACAAGTACACAAAGTTTCAAACAATTGAGGTCTTCAACATCTCGAAGCCAAATGATATCGAGGTCTTCCAAATGGACGGTGAGTGGTACTTTGTGATTGTGGACAGCTCCAAGGCAGGTTTGTCTACTCTGTACAAGTGGACAGACCAACCAGACCGCAATGAAACTGGTTTCTACTCCTACCAGTTTCTACACGAGTGGTTTCGTGATACAGACGCTGAGTTTGTCGAGTTGGATAGGAAGTCCTATCTTATCTTGACCAGTCGCTCTCAGTCACCTGTAATCTACTTGTGGAACAAGAGCACCCTGAAGTTCATATTTCATCGTGAAATCACAAATGTCGATGACATCGTGGCAGTAAAATCTTTCCGGGTGGAGGATGAGTTGTATCTGGCCATGACTTGCTACATCGGTGACTCCAAAGTCCTCAAGTGGACCAATAAGCAGTTCACTGAGGTGCAGGCTCTACCTTCTCGAGGAGCGATGATCCTCCAACCTTTCACCTTCACAGACAAGCACTACCTTGCTCTTGGCAGCGATTATTCTTTCACACAAATCTACCTCTGGGATGTGGAGACCAAAACGTTCCACAAGTTTAAGGACATTTATGTGCAGTCGCCCCGATCCTTTACAGCAATGACCACTGACCGGAGGAATTTCATCTTCTCCTCCAGCTTAAAGGGCAAATCGATGGTTTTTGAGAATATTATTGTAGATTTGAGCTTATAATGTCTAGCAAAATAATGACTTATCACAGTATGAGTTGGTGACTCAGATCAATATTTGCGTGTATGCTACAAAGGAGTCTCAAATGCTGTATATCTTTCTTCTGCAATTAGATATATCTTTCTTGATTTGAGACAAACATCTTTGGCAAGTTCATATGTATTTCTAACAATTATGGAGATATGACAGGTCCAAAGTAGTAAACTGAATTCTGACAGGAATACAAAAACATTGTAACCATTTGAAATGTAAACAGCATGAAGATATTGTTATGGCATACAAGATATTATCTTAAGAGGTGTTGGCTTTAATTGTAATTATTTTAAGCAAACAATGGCCAATGCCCCCCCACACAGCTTGTAAGAAACTTATCCATTAATGGCTGCATAAAATGTAAAGACCATGTGAAACGTTGGTGGTCATTCAAAAGTGACGATGGCCTAAATCTCTGCACTACTCTACAATGAAAAAAACACAGATTTTTATGTCGCCTCAAAGTGAACACTCAAGGTGTCAGTATGTAAGGTGTTGAAAATGAGATGATGGCACACTCTTTCCTGTAAGGTATTAATGGTATTGCACCCAGTTGTACACAAAACAGGAACGTAATTGTTACTGTTAAAAAGGAAAAAGAGAGCTCAAACCCTCCTTACATTCTCACTTCCTCTCACCTGGCCAAATTGCTTGTGAAGTGGGTGTGCTTGTTGGAATGTCTGTTTTAGAAAATAACAGAAATGGTTGGATGCAGTTAAAACAACAAAATAATTGGGAGTGGGCTAAAATACTGTAAGTGATTTGTTTGAAACAATTGGAGCAGTCAGTCAAAATGTTGAAGCCACTCATCCCAGTAACTGTCATGATTTAAATGTGCATGAAATAAAGGTTTTCTTCAAAATCTTTCACCCAAAAATCCAGATGAATGTATTAGCAACATATTATGAGCTTAAGCCTAACTGCACACCAGTTATAACAAGCTACTGTATTTACAGAGTGCCTGATTAGTGTCAGAACTAATTATAATTTAATCCTGATTCCTATGCAAAATGTATGCTCTCATACAGTGTTGCTCTCAATTACAATCACAAGGATAATTGTGTGTTGCAATGTGACTTGAAATGATATTTACATGGTCCTAAGACACACACGTGTGTCTTTACAGATCTTTTGATATTTTTCATGTATTGTACAGAAATTAAAGTGTGTTTGGCTGACGTTTTCACACACATAACACTGGCATGATGTGCAAATTAGGCCATGGTCTCTATAGACTGTCAAACATCTTAAAGTCACAAAATGTTAACAAGATCTAGCATAAGCAATGTGTTTTTGTTAGCATTTCAGATTTCTTGGGGAAAAAAACATTATTGCCCCTCATGTCTTTACTAGCAATGATGTATATTTTCCACTCTACTAAGCTCAAGCTACAGCTGTGTAAATGCTGTGTGAATGCAATAAAAAAACATTTAACCATAAGCATTGTATTTGTGTTCTTCGTTCTTTGCAGATGGACAGACTGTGAAATGTGTCCATAAAGCAAAGACAAAGTGCCCGAGACAGCATGTTTGAAATTGATAGTGCTGTCAGCATCTGGCGTCTGAGATGGCATTTTTCTTTCAACTGCAACAGCGGACAAATGTCAAAACCATACGGTTTACTGATCTGAACAAGAATAGACAGAGTGTGTAATCATCATCATCTGGTATTTTTGTCATTCTTTGTTGAGTTGTTCTGTACGAGGCACTGCTGCCAAGTAGCCTATACGTTTTCTGTTCAGAACTATCAACAGCTGAACAACCTGGAGGTGCGTGCTTTCACCACATTAGGAACATATGCTATGCACAAATAGAGTTTCTGTTAAAAATTAATTTAATGAAAGAGCTAAATGTCACAGCATGTGGTTCCCTCTTGTGCACACTATGAGACAGGATAATTGCAATATTAAAATGTGACTGGATACAGTAGGACATCCTGGTATTTTAGGCCTATTGTATTTGACATGAATTGACTATTTTTTGAGACATACGAAAACATTTCTGGCATACTAAATTATATGGTAGCATGGATAGTAAACCCTCAGATTTATTTACAGGTACAGTTGCAGTTTTATTGATGTTTTTATTTATTTAAAACGTCTGGTTTGCATATAAAAGTCACCAAACCGTAAACTACAATAATAAATCAAGTCCCTAAACCTTTGCACGTAACACATTTATTGCTTGTCACTCTGTTGATTTAGAAAAAATTATAGGATTGAATATGGAATATTTGTATTGCCTTTCAAACTTTGAAAAAAGTAATCATCATGTTACAATAATTGTCTTGCCTTTGTTGTGCATTGAGAGTACGTTGTATTCAAGTAACTTATGCCACAAAATACACACGATGGGAAGCCAACGTGTGTGGTATTACATTGATGGATAAGGCATTATGCTATAAATGATCAAAATTTCATATGAGCTTAATTATTTTTGAAAATGTATAGTCGCCATACCGTTATCAGTCAGTGCCAAGGGTTAGTTCCCAAACTTACGAGGGTTACCAAATGCGTCGTGACGCTCCTCTGACGTCGTGGACGGACGGAAGTGATGCAGCTCATGTTCCTCGATCAGCTAATCCGTCTTGATGATGCAAACTGTCTCTAGATCTGATCACAACATGGTGATGCTTGTATGAAACTCACCTTGCGTCACTGTACATATATTTTTTCCTGCAGCGCAGAGAGAGATGGATCTGTCCAGGAGGAGCGAGAGCGACTGGCAGGGGCTGGTCAACGAGGTGAGACAGGAGAGACGCAGAGAGGAGCGTGGACGTAAATACTCAGTAACCTCCACTCTGTGTTTGTTTGTGCACCACCAAACTATCACATTAGCGGGAAATGTGTGTATTTAAATGTGTGTTGCCTCCTGTTATCACCCGCAGACAGTAAAGGAGTTTTAGATTAAAAGATAAAGAGGATTAAATGTCAGCTGCTTTGGTTTCTCTCACCCTGGAGATAAGGAAGTAAATGTTTTTTCCTTTTACCTGCAGAGCCCAGTGAGTACAGAGATACATGATGCAGTAAAAGCAAATAGTACTGTGTGTTATGACTAACATCACTGTTCTATTTTGTTACATATTGTAAAGCATGATACAAAACTCTGTTCAATAAATTATAATCCATCTGAAACACCACTTTACCAAGTATGGGCCTCAAACGATGAATCAATTAGTCAATCAACAGAAATGAATTGACAACAGCCCTGATAATTGATTAATCATTTAATGAATGTATCAAGCAAAAATGCCAAACATGATCCATGTGTTTTCGCTTCTCAAATGTGAGGATCTGCTGCTTCTCTTTCTTTTATATATTGCAAGTTTAATGTCTTTGGGTATATTGATTTGGGCAGTTAATCAAAAATATAACTGACAGATTAATTGATAATGAAAATAAACAGACCTAAAAAGGGGATTTTAAATGGTTATTGTGATATAAATTGTTCCATATTTTTTTTTCTCTGTCTCTGTAGTTCCTCATTTGTAAGCGTAAGTTGGAGAGTAAAAAAGAAGCTCTTCTGATTCTGTCTAAAGAGCTGGACACCTGCCAGCAGGAGAGGGATCAGTTCAAACTGATGGCCAACCAGCTACGTGAGCGACACCAAGGACTCAAGAAGAAGTACAGGGAACTCATTGTAAGCTGAACTAGTAACCGTCGTAAAGATGCATCATGAGTGTTTTAATACGCAGAAAATGGAGATTAGAAATTGTTATTGTCCACTATTGAATTTTGGCGATGTTGCATTTAATAACAGATATTTTTGTTTTTATAACTAATAGGATGGTGATCCCTCTCTGCCTCCTGAGAAAAGGAATCAAGTAAGCAATTCTATCCTGCAGACATTCTTTGTGCATCTCTGTCTAATAAAAATGAATAATGTGGTTTAAAAAAAGCTGTTAGATATGGCTCATCAAGATGGCATTTTGCAGCTTTACACATAAGCTCCAGATTGTTAGAAGTAAGTGGAATTCAGTTATTTGCACACATTGTGCATGTCTTCATGGATAAGGCTGGTCTCTTAAGTTATATGCTAAAATATTTAAAGGGGAAAAGAATCGCAGCATTCAACCCAGCTGTCTCTACGTGGAGCAACCCTGCTTTGTACATAGTTAGATAAGAGCACATTTACCAGGGCGACTGGGATGCTCTTCACCACTGCTGCCCCGTGGTTAAAAAATGGGGAAATATTTATGTTAAATTCCTGTTCTCTACAGAGTTGAATGTCAGTTGTGAAACATTCGTGTAACTGCTGAACTAACCCTGTATGATCTAGCTCATGTGACCTCACGTTCATGTCTTCAGGTAAATTTAGCCCAGCTACTGAGAGACTCCAGAGAAAAGAGCAGTCAACTTTCTGAGGAGGTGAAGGAGCTGAAACAACGACTGGTGGAAGCTCAAGGTGACAACAAGGTACCATGACATACTGTGCACTATACCGAAAGTTTTAGTAAAATGAAATTGTCTTTATTTATTTTTGCGTGTTGTGAATATATCTCCATCATTTGCCAGTTCTGAATTATTTTATCCGATTTAAGTTAGTAGAGATTAAGCTGATTTTAATGCAAATAAATGAGTTCATTAAAATAAATAAAGTAGAAGAATCACATCTACTGTGGTCTCTCTGTCCCAACAGCTTCTACGAATGACCATCACCAAACAACGGCTGGGAGACGAAGAGGTCGGCGCTCGACACTTTCCCGCTCATGAACGAGAGGATCTGGTCAAACAGTTAGAACGAGCTGGAGAGCAGGTGAGAACAGATTTGACTATACCGGTGACTTTCTGTTGTTGGCTTGTAGTTGACAGCATTGTGATATTTAACAACATCCTGTCAAACGAATGGCAAACCAGCAAGACTTGGAAGTAATTATACCATGCACACACCTACAGTCAGTGGTGGAGGAAGTGCTCACAGTAAAAATACTCCATTACAAGTCAATGTTCTGTGGACAGACCTGGTAAACCCAAGCATGTGGTGAGGGTGAACTGTGAACGTCTGGCTGAGGCCCCTGTCCGCGAGGTCTTCAACTCATCCATATGCCTGGTAGAGGTTGTTGAGGTGGCAAGGTGGCAAGGTGCCAGAGGTGGATGAGATTCGCCCTGAAATGTTGAAGGCTCTGGGCGTTGTCGGGCTGTCTTGACCCATATCGTGGTAGAAGATTTTGGCCATATCACCCAGCCCTAATTCCAGGCACTTTTTTTCCCACAACTTTGTGGAGTGGATGAACTATTCTGCCCGAATCATTAGTAGATTAAATCCTAGTTGTGTTTTGTGTCGCTGTAGAACGAGGTTTTGGAGCACAGCATGAAGTCGCTCACAGATGAGCTTCAGGACGTACGAGCGGAGCGTGACGTGTTTCAGCAGAAGGCCCATCGACTCAATGTGGAAATTAACCACATCTTGGGCAACGATGAGATACGCATGTTGGACGTAGATGCGCTCTGCATGGAGAACAGGTTTGTTTGAGATATTTTCTTGGTGCTTCACTGAAATATTAGAGCATCTGCAGCAATTAGTCCACAGTTAAAGAGACATCCTCTAAGTTTTGCACGAGTTTAGCATGCTGTTGAAATCAGTTGATGTTGATGATAGAACAGGTGAGGTTTAATGATGAACTTGTGATCTCTATAATATTTTAGGTATTTGCATGAACGGTTCTGTCAATTTCAAGAAGAAATCAACTTGCTCAAAGCAAACCTGGTGAAGTACAAGGTAACTACATGTTGTTTTATCATTCTTATTTCTTCAATGTTTTACTCCTAGAGTTATCTTTTAAATATTTTTAATTGTTTCTTAATTCTTTGGAAATGTTTTTTCTTCTGTTAAAAGCACAAACCGCTCATGCTAAGTATTGCTTTTCACTGATTTCAGAGTGCCCTGGACTGTAGGAAAACATCTAGGATCTGTGGGAAACCCAACAGTAGTGCACTGACTGGGGTGCTCTCTGCCAAACAAGGTCAGAAGGATCAAATATTTAGTTTTAAAACATACATACTGAAGTGAGTATGTTCAATGTCACAAAAATACAGGTTAAAGAAAAAGACATTTTTACAAACTAATAATTTGAAGACAGCACTTTGACCATCGATCTGTGTGCAGTGAAGGAACTGTTGCTGTCTGAAGAAAACAGCTGCAGTTTGCCGGTGACTCCTCAGTCCATTTCAGACCTCAAGTCACTCGCCACAGCTCTGCTGGAAACCATCCACGAGAAGAACATGGTGATTCAGCACCAACGCCAAATCAACAAGTACTCCATCTCATCCTTCCCTCTCTCTGTGTACACTCTGAGTTGTATATATAAATAACTTGGATGTCAGACAAAACGTTCAAATATAATTGCTTTTGTGCCTTTTTTATTGTCAGGATTCTTGGAAATCGAGTAGCAGAGCTGGAGAAGAAACTAAAAGCGTTAGAAATGTCTGGATTATGGAGCCTGCCAGGTGAACATAATTATCCTAATATACTGTGTTTATTGAAGCTTGTAGTCTACTTACTGTTTACAATAATGTACTTTTATTATCCTCTCTTCTGTCCTTTTGCTTCTTGCTCCCTGGAGGTCTGACTTATAATGTGTCTCTGGGAATATATGGAAGTATGTTCCTCTCACTTCCTCAAACTACTTTTAACCTTTAAACTTCTTGCATTTCTTCTCATATCTGCCCAAATGGCATTTACTTATCTCTATCCAATCCAACAGTTAAGTAGTGGCACACAGATGCTTGAATTGCTACCACTTGTATAGAAGCTTACTCTGAATAATGTCCCATCATAATAGGAGGAAAAGACACCATCATCCTGAATACTCAGCAGGCTGAGTTGACAGAGTCTCCTGGACAGGAAGGTGAATAATCAATGTCACTCATACTTCTCAGACACAATCTATCATTGTGTGTGTTGGTGAGATTTTATTTCTTGAGTCTTCTATTCTTACAGGTGATGAACTGTCGGAACAAATAGTTGTCGATCAGCAGAGCTCCACAGGAGTCCCAGTCCAAGAGAGTGGACCACCAGCTGGGTCAGGTGGTCAACAGAAGCTTCTTGTGGAGACACTATCCCCATCCAGCGGGGAGACGTGCCAGCCAGCTGAGGAAGAGCCAGTCTGCCCTCAGACAGAAACACCAGACAGTGAAGAGTGTCCTGACAGCAGTCAGTCACAGGTCACAACTGATTTAACGAGTCACCGGTCAAAAGAAGAGTGTGCGAGTGATTCCTCCTCCGCACAACATCCGTCAGACCTGTGCCACATAGAGCAAACTTTAGAGGACTCTGACCCCACAGGGGGAAGAGGGGAACAGTCGGATGAATGCACTGATGGGGTGGAAACTGTTGAGATGGAGTTTATTCTAACAGAGGCAAACATAAATAGCACAATATGCACTGCTGCCGCCGCAAGTTCCGATGAAGACCAGGAGAATGTCCAGTCAAACCTGGAGACGGAGCTTCCAGATGGGACAGATGTTTTGTGTTAGTCAGGAAATGTGAATTCTTCCATGAGCTGCTCACATGTTGCAGAGCATCGGGAAAAATCAATGCCGTATCGCATTATGATGCTACTTTATTTATTTTTATGAATAATGAAAAAAAAATGGAAAAAGTGTCGCTATTGAGTTGATAATGGATGCCGACATCTGATATTTACTGCAAATCCAAGTAATATCAAAACCAATTATTGTTTTTTTTACTTGTCAAAGTAGTAAGAATGACTCATGACAAACCTAAAACAAGAATTGAGCATCAACTGTCAGGAACTGATGATGTAATATGTGCCCAAAGAATGTCCAAACCCAAACGTAACTCCCATATGTGATTGTTGAACAGAAATGTGCTGCTATAACTCTAATGGAATAGTTTTTCCACAAAGATGTTCCGCAGAGATTTGCTCCCACTCAGCCAGAAAAGCATTAGTGAGGTTGGGCAACAAAGCCTGGATCACAGTCCAGTTAATCCAAAAGGGGTTGGACGGGTTTGAGGTCAGAACTTTGTGCACATCAGTCAAGTTTTTCCACACCATTGTGGTGTTGAAACAGGAAAGGGTTATTCCCAAACTGTTCCCACAAAGTTTGAAGCGTTGCATTGTTTATGTATCGGAGGTGGGTGAAACTGATTTATGGCGATAAAAGTATCAAAAAATGTCTGTAGGATACGGCTGTAATGCCACAGGGGTGTCATGATTTAGATTAACATTTCTACTGTTAACTCTGGAGTACGACACTGATTCAGGTTTCTCACAGAAAGTAACTTAAAATTAAGAGGGACGTGTGATTGCTTTTGACTATGAAGACGTGGTGTTGCTTAGAAATCAATTCTCTGTCTTTCTACCTCTGCCGACACTTCCCACGCCTCGACGTTCAAGAAACCTACCGAATCTCATTGGCCAGTATGTCAAATAGACATCCAGCTATTGTGAGCAATGTTTAGTTCAAGCAGCAGCTTTATTTTGTTTTCATCAAACACATTTACAGTTTAAGTTCTTGTCTTGACAATGTGAGACATTTAGCTTATTTGCTAATCACCCTTACACGTCTTATTTTTAATCAACACAATAGTATCAAAGCTATAAAATGCTGCATGACAATGTACTAGATATTGATTAAAGATAATTGCATTTTCTTTTTTAACACATGCTCTTATTTATTTCCTTGACAGGCTTCTTCAAAGCAAATATTTGACATACAAGGATTTGTCAGATGACATCTTAATTAAGAACACATTTACAGAATTTAGTCTACAACACAATTAAGCCACAACTAGATTACCAGCACTGATGTCTTTGTCCCATTTTTGTGGTGAAACACAAGATAGAAATTACATAGAGCCATGTGTGTTAAATGTTTGGAGAAATGTGTACAAAATGGATTTTTTTCTGAAAAATAAATAGTTTTCAACTACTGGTTGGCTTGCATATGAAGTCTTAAGGCAGGTTCTTTAATCTAAAGGCTAACAACATGCTTACATGTTTGCAATGACAATGCTAACATACAAATGCATGCAAGTGTTATGTTTATTATGTTCAACATCTTAGTTTTGCATGTTAGCATGCTAACATTGGCTAATAAGCAGTAAACACAGTACAGTGGAGTTTGATGGTAATTTAATTTTTGGTCATAAAATAAGTATTGGACGAATTGAGATTTTGACTAGATGATGGCGCGAGAGGAAAAGTCAGAGGACCACCCAAGTCGGTACGATTCGTCCTTACTAATGTGTATACCAAATTCTGTACCAAACTTCATTTGAGATTAATAATAACGTTTTATTGATGTCAGACAATGAATGAATGAATACAGGCCAAATCTGTAAAATTGACATATAGTATATTCCATTCCTGTGAAACTAATTTCTCCTCAGCCGCCTATCATACAGCTTATATTGTGTATTCCAGGAGTCGGGAGGGGAAATCCCAATAATGCAGCAACCAAGCCTTCGGCCTGCATTTCCATGCAGCAGGCTCCCAGCATCTCCACCTTGCCCCAAGTCGTCCATCTTTTCATGGACCACCACTGCTCTTCCAATCACAGACAGCTCTCTAAACAGCGTTGCCTCAGATTCCATCATTGTATTTATTTTCCCTTCCTGGGGCTCAAAGTTACCAAAGTCTCCAGGGTGGTTGGGGTGATGTACAGCATGTGGATTGTAGTGGCCGCCAGTGGAGTCACACCCCCGGCTCAGGTCTCCGTACTGATGGATGTGCACCGCTCTGGGCTCTGGATCACCCTCTGTGGGGAAGCCATTGAACCGAAGAAGGACATTGAGTTTCCCCAGAGGATAATCTTGCTTTAACAGCACCTGACCGTACACTTTGGGCAGGCCGTCGGGTAGTGAAGTGCTGGGTCTCATTTTGCAGGTTGCATAGAGAGTACCATTGTACTGAGAGACCTCTGGTGGAGCCAAAGTGTCGCTGTCAGCTGAGACACACTGTTGACAGCCTGCCAGTAGAACCAACAGTGCTAATCCCAATATAAACCTGGACCTGAAAGATATCAAAATCATCAGGAGTGCCTCATATTTATACATTCTGCAAGAAAACAGCCATCAAGTATAAGTGTGTGTGTGTGTGTGTATATATATATACATACATATATATATACATATATATATACATACATACATACATACATATACATATATACATACATACATATACATATATACATACATACATACACATATATACACATATATACATACACATATATACATACACACACACACACATATATACACACACATATATATATACACACACACACACATATATATATATATATATA